TCATGCTGATGCTCCCTCAAGCATCTACCTCTGATTTCCTCCTTCTCTTCAAATGTCACCAGCTTCTCCTCCACTCTACCTTAGCCACAGGTCACAACCTGGATTTCACCGTTGCTCACAATTATCCTATCTGATCATAACCTCTAATCACTCCACTTTCTTTCTCTCACTCAACCCTCCTAAATCAAGTATTTGCCCTCCTTAAGACATCTACTCCTGGCTCAGATTCTTATAATCTAGCCAATAGCTCACAGATGTTCAGACTCCTTAAGAGTCCGCCCAATATGACGAATGTTCTAATAAACCTTGTACTTGGCTGAAAGAAGGCTTGGGTCAAATTCTTTTGGGCAGAACCCATGTGTTGTGATTTTGGGGTTCCAGCACCCCTAAACCCTTAAACCTCCACATTTTGGTGGCCCGTACGGGGAAACTGCATAACCTCAAGTTCTTCTACAGCCAAGACTGGAAGGTATGTAAGCACCTCCCCCCACTCCTTTCTTGCTCTGAAGTTGGGGCCACTCGCCAAGCACCAAGGCTTAGAGGTGCTTTTCGAGCAGACAGTTACATGACTGTCTTGCACTTGGCCTGATGCTCTCAGGCTCTTGGTCCACTGGGTCTGTTTGAGGCCATGGACCACATCTTCCGCAGCATAGATGACAAGGACAGACTCCCTATCGGGAAGCATATGCTCAGTTCTATCCATTCTCTCAGCGCTAGGGAACTGGGAAAAACTACAGTTGCTTTTTGGTTCCCTGAGACTTACTTGCTACCCTCTACACTCCTGAATCCTCCTTCATGGAGGTTACAGGGAAAAGTTAGAACAGTTAAAAACATTTTAGTAGATTCTGGAGGTTTTGTGATCGATCATTAAGGAGTTCTGAAACTCCTCCTTACAACCCTGGTCATTCGTTTCTCTCACTCCCTTCCCTTGAGTCAAGAGGTTATCTGTTAATCCCTCTCATAGGAGAAGAGAGTTTCACCCTTGACCCCTCACCTTTGATTTTGCTCTCCCCCACCTGGGAAAGGAAAGAAGGGGGAGAGGCAGAAGTTACATGAGTCCCCCAGCAATGGCCTTGGGCCCTAGGGCAACCTTTGCAAGGAAGCGTCACCCAGGTTCAGCACATCCTATTCAAGATAAAGAAGCTGGCCTCCAAGCTTGGGTAAGCACCCTCTTCTTAAAGTTGTAGTTTTGACTGTTAATGATGAGATGTTGATTTTTCTGTGTAGTAGAAGTGCATTTAACAAAGCTGAAGTCACCTGATTGGTAATAGGTTTGTTTCAAGTTTCAAATTGGTGAACTTCTCGTGTCAGTTATGTCAAGCAACTTCACATAATTTGATTATCACTAAAATAATCTGGCTATTGTTGGTTATTGTTTTAATGTGTAAGCTAGCCAAAAAGCTTGTTTGAGTTATATATGGCTTGCTGAGAATTTGCAAGTGTATAGAAATCTCTAATGATTGGCTTCTTACGCCATGACAAATTTAAGTTTGAAATGTAAATCCTGGAAAAGTTTTTCCTAAACTGTGATTAATGAAACTTGCTGTTTGAGGTAAAAGCTCCTAGGATTTTATTTTGAATTGTCTCATGGATCATAATCCATCGATAATCAATAATCCACCATCTAAGAGAAATGCCACAAGCTACTCAGAGAATGTGATACTGGAGGGAAGTCAGCATTGGGAAAAGTTGAGAGGACAATTTTAGCCTCAGTCTAAGATGGGATCCTCCTGGCTCAGTTTCCCCATTATGTTCCTTTGAAAAGGAATGTTACTCACCTGGCTATTCCTGAGTCTGGATATGAGGTGGATTTGATACTGCATGGTTGGAAAACTGAGTTATCTGAATCCAAACAGAGCTAAGGATGTTTCATCCTGTCATTTGGACCCTGCAGTATTTTCTGTCAGATTTGTGTCTTCCAGACTACAGGCCATTCACCTGCAGCTGATAGCAAACAGCGAGTACTAGCCAATATCCCCTGGATGCAGCCTGTGCTTGGTTCCAGTCAACCTCCTCTTTGGGACCCCCTTGAGGCAGGGACAGCTCTATGCCCCTTGCCAGCAGGAAGCAGTTTCAGAAGCCAAGACCTTCACCCCTTGCCCCAAAAGAATTTGGGTTCCATTTGTTTGAGAGGGGAATAAAGAGGATGGGATCTAGACCCCAAAAAGGAAAAACCCTGGACTTTCCCACAAGCCCAAATCTCTGGCATTTGCCTGAAGCTATAATTCCATCAACTGGCCTTTTGCCATTACCTACACCCAACCTCCCAATTCTCATTACCCTTAACCTAGCCTAGCCCTCCATTGGATTACTTCCTTATGGCCCCAGGACACTCCTCACTCTTAATCCTATCTAGGCTCCATTCTCCCTTGGTGACCTGGTCCAAGTCCCTGGAGTTCTATTACCTCATAGACTACTTGGCCGCTCCTAGATCCCTCCCATAGTCTTTCGGTATATAAGGTCCATCTTGTCTCCATTAAGAGGCTCAGATTCTTATAATCCAGCCAATAGCTCATAGATGTTCAGACTCCTTAAAAGTCTGCACAATATGACAGATGTTCTAATAAACCTTGTACTTGGCTGAAAAAAAAAAACATATACTCCTTCTATCCCTGAGGACTTTGTAAGGCCATGTCCCACTTCTCTGACTTTCCTTTCCTCTACTCCCAATCTTGTCTCTTAGTTAATCAAGCCAGTTCTACACAGTCCCTTATCCTCAGATCCATCAGACCATTATTCTATCAATGGTAATTCCTTGCCAGCCACCAGCCCACAATTATTCCACCAAAATCCTCACTCTATTGCCATGCCACCAAAAACAGTTGGAGTAAGTCAGGCAACAGTGATGACTCTCCACTAAAGCATTTAATCTCAATAGGCCCCACACTGCAGCAAGGTAATCTTTTCTCTCCCTAATTCATGTGCTATCTCATGCCTCCCAGATACTCTTCTGGATACCTTCTTTCCTCAAGCCTTCTACACTTCCCTTCCCTGACATTCTCAGTGGTGGAACTTAACTTTCCTGAGAAAATGGAATCCATTCACTATGAGCTCCCACTTCTTTCATTGTCTTCTTTTCAAAACCCCTTGATCTCATACTCAACTCCCAACTCCTCTATCCAGTCTCTGGTAATTGGGAGGCCCTTTCCCTTGCTTGGGTGGTTGTGCTTATACTTGGACCTCAATTTCTCTCTAGTCTCAGAAACACTGTCTCTGACAATCTCTTCCCAGCCCAAGGACACTGCGCCTAGCAATTACTCATGCATGGGCCCCAGCAAGACTCTTATCTCTCTTCCTAGTGCAGCTACACAAAGCTGGGTGAGAAAATGCTGGGTTACTCAGGCCCCAGCCCTCAGATCATGTCTCTGGAGGCCTCTCAATTCCTTAGTAAGCTCCTGTCTTATGAGAAAGCTTTCCTTTGTTGCAGAGCATTCTATCATCAGGACAGGAAGAGAGGGGTGTCTTGTTTGGCCCAAAGAGTTTTGTCCTTGGCTGGCCCAAGGACTCTTCCTCCTGCCAGACTCCCAAGATACATGCCTCTGACATCTCTCTCCCTGTCTGGTATACTCCCTATACTTTCCCATCCATAGCTCCCAAAGACACCTGGACCTTTAGATTACCTAGTCAGTACCCCTGGCATTCCTTTCCTATGTCCTTTTCCATATAAACCCTAGCTCTATCCTCAGTCTCTCGCAGGTTCCTTAAGAATTCTTGCCCGCTGAAAAGCATAACAATAAATCTTTGCCACCTTGACTTAAAGAACACTTGAGTCTGTGAATTCATTCCAGATGACCCCATCTTGTACTCCAGTCTTTGAGGGGTCTCAACCTCTCAGACCACAACAGTACCACCAACAATCAGTCAAAAAGCATATATTGAGCACCTTCTGTGTGCCAGGTACTGTGGGAATACAAATATAAGCAAGGAGATAATCCTTACTCTCAATAATTTTACAGTGAAACAGTACAGGCAATTATGTTCATATATAAGCATAAAAGGGAGAGGGGAATCTTAGATAACTGGGATTTGGCACTTCGACAAAAAAATCCAAAGGTCTTTCTCTTATACTATGCTATCAGAGTTGGATCTTAAATCATGTCAATGAACAGGATGCTCTCAGAAAAACCTGGGAAGACTTGTATAGGCTGATGCAAAGGGAAATGTACTGTGTCCAAAGTAAAAGCAATATTGTAAGATGATTGGCTGTGAATGACTTAGCTATTCTCAGCAATACAACAATCCAAGACAACTCTGAAGGACTTATGATGAAAAATGCTGTCCATCCCCAGAGAAAGAACACGACTATTAGGAAAATGTTTTGCATGACTACACATGCATAACTTATATCGAATTGCTTGCCTTCTCAATGAGGAGGGTGAGGGGAGGGAGGGAGGAAGAGAGAGATTTGGAACTCAAAGTTTTAAAAACAAATGTTGCAAATTGTTTTTACATGTAACTGGGGAAAATAAAATACTGAATAAACAATTTTTTTAAAATAAAATAAAATCATCTCAACAGGTAAATATAAAGTCTTACACGTGAGTTAAACAAAATCACCAGTACCAGTACAACATGACCAGTCCACCACAATCCTGAGGCAGCCAGGTGGCCCAGTGGACAAAGCATCAGAAAGATGTGAGTTCAAACCTAGTTTCATACACTTACTAGCTATGTCACCCTGAGCAAGTTGTTTAGCTTCTATCTGCCTCACCTTCCTCATCTCTAAAATGAGGATAATTATAGCAACTACCTCACACATTGTTGTGTCAATCAAATATTTGTAAAGTGCTTAGCATAGTGCCTGGCACGTAGTAGGTGCCATATAAATGCTTTCTTTCTTTTTTTCATCTTCCACCTCTTTTCCTTCTTTCCACAGTACTCTTGTGGCTTCAGCCACAAAGAGGAAGGATATCGACTAAGTCAGGAAAAGAGGAAGAGGGGGAAAAAAAACACACCCTCTTTGGGGGTGCTAGCCACTGACTCACTGAGCCTCTTGAGAAAACAATGAAGAAAAAGTAATGAAGTGAGAAGTTTTCACTTCTTCTTCCCATGGCTCTGATGATGAAAAGGGTGCTGAGGTCCCAGCCAGAGTCCAGCGTTATGCCAGACTGCCCCTGAAGAGCCAGCAGGATGGAGTTAGATGGAATTTATGAAAATATGACCCTAAGGAATTCACTGCCTCAAGCCGGAAAAGGTAAGCCCTCAGGCTATACCGGGAGCCCTGCCATGCCTGGAGAAAAAGTCAAGGACCTAGAAATAAGGGTCCTAGATTTAGAGCTGGAAGGGACTATAGAGGTGCCCATTCCAACCTGGCTAATTAGTGGGATCCAAAAGCAGTTCATCCTGACTGTCCAATCAGTTATTTGATAAGTCCAGTGCTCCACCCACTATACCACACTGCCTCAAGGCTAACTTAGTTAAGCCTTCTCCATGGAACTGACCTGCAGTTTGGTTGAGGAGCCAAAGGTCTGGGAGGGGTAGAAAAGGAGGCTAAGGTTTGGCAAGCTACTTGCTAAAAGATATTTTATTGATCACCTCCCCATGTTCCTTTTTTCCTCTTTCAGGTACACCTTGTACCTTGTACCAGTCAGTCAATAGACTTTTCTTAAGTGCCTGATATGTGCCAGACACTGTGCTAATAATAGTTAGCATTTATATAGTATCTTAAGGTATGCAGAGCACTTCATACCACTTCAGTTGATCTTTGCAACTGGGAGATGGGTGCTATTATGATTCCCATTTTATAGACGAGGAAATTGAGGCACAAATAGGTTGTGACTTGCCCAGGGTCACGCAACTAGTAAGAATCTTAGCCTGGATTTGGTATCAGGGCTTCCCAGCTCCAGGTCCAGTGTCCACCCACTGTGATGCCGACCTGCCTTATAAATGAAAAAGAGCTAAGACTTGGAAATTGTACAGAAGTCTCATGCCTCTAAGCACTCAAAGACCTCATAGCCTAAAGGACCAGGGACTCAAGGAAGGAGAAAGATGAGACCAGGGCTGTATCTTTGAGGAGCTTACCCTCTGATTGAGGAGACAAGACAGGTTCCTACAGTTTCAGCAGCCTAGGAAGCCTCAGGGTGTAATGGAAAGAGCTTTGAGCTCAGAGTAAGAAGACCTGGCTTTGCATGCTGTATCTACCACTTCCAAATTATGTGACCCTGGGCAAGTCACTGACCTTCTTTGGACCTCAGTTTCCTTATCTGTAAAATGGAGAGATGAAGAGGCAGGGAGTGGGTAATGAACTGAACGGTCTCTAAGGCCCCTGGGGTCCCTTTCAGCAAATATGGAGATTAGAAAATCTCTACATTTGTCCTTGGTCAGACCACATCTGGGGCATCTTATTCAGTTCTGGGTGCCATTAAGTCAGTCAACACGCATTCACGAAGTATTTACTATGTGCTAGGCACTGCACCAAGAGCTGGGTTTATAAAGGCAAAAACAATTCCGGTCCTCAAAAAGCTCATCTGGGTAGCATAGTGGATAGAGCCCTGGGCCTGGAGTCAGGAAGATCTGACTTCAAATCCAGCCTCAGACACTTCTTAGCTCTGTGACCCTGGGCAAGTCACTTAGCAGCTATCTACCTGGGTTTCCTCATATGTAAAAAGGAGATAATAACAGGCTCTTCCTCGATAAAATGAAATGTTTGTAAAGTGCTTTGTAAACCTTAAAGTGCCATATAATTACTAGCTATCAAAATTTTATTCTACTGTGTGACCCTGAGCAAGTCACTTAACTCCGATCGCCTCACCAAAAAGCAAAAAAAAAAAAAAGAAAATTAAAAAAAGATTTTATTCTAATGGGGAAGATCAACCTGAAAATAAGTAGCTATGTAAGGCATATGTAGACTAAGTAGGAGGTAATCTCAGACAGGCAGGCACCTGGGATGTGCCTCCTACAAACACTGGGATTTGAGATGAGACTTAAAGGAAGTCAGGGAAACTGAGAGAGTAGTGAAGAGGGAAAGCATTCCAGGCATGAGGAATAGCCAGTGCGAAACAATGGAGGGAAGAGATGGAGTGTCACATATGCTTTGAAGGACCCTGGAAATTCCAAGCCAGGAATTGGATCCTACATCATAGATGTTTTGTTTTTTTTTTTTAATTTGTGAATGCACTTTTTTTTATTACATGTAGAATGTTGAACCCCTTCTGTACCCAAGAAAGATTACAATCCCTCCCAACAACTTAAACTAAGTATTTAAAGAAGGATATTTTTCATTTCAGTTGAGTACATTTCAGCCCATCCACAGGGCACTGAAGGAGAAGAACTGGCTGAATTCATAGTAAACAGTTGAGGAAACTGTGCTCAGAGCAGATCCAATGGCTAGTTGAGTATTGAAAGGCATAATTAGAAGTTTCTTTCAGATCCAAATGAAAAGAGGCCAGAAAATCACTAATTACTAATCAATAGAATTCAAATAGGGAAATAGGAAAGGCTGAACGACCACAGTGAAGTTAGTCCCATTGTCTAGGCAGATATGGCTAGACAGAGAGAAAAAGGAACATTTATTACAGGACCACAGGAAAGAAGCTCTATCCTGCACAGGGGTCCCTGTATAGGACAGGAAGCAGGGTGGTTAGGCAAGAGAACCCAGAAATGGAGACGGAAATCCTGGAAGGGTGGAGGGGGAGGAGGAGTCGTAGCTCCAATCCTTGCTGGCTATGTCACTAAAGATAAGTCACAACTTCCCTAAACTTAACTGTCCTTTCCCTGAACACTGAAATCTGCCCTTTTCCAACCTAGGATATATATCTAACTGTATCTGTATACTGTGGTACTCCAGAGTCACTTGTCCCCAACAATTCCATTATTTCTGTTTGAGCAACAAATTTCTCAATATTGCTCAGGCTCAGATTCATAGTTCCCCTTTGTTATTTGCTTAGCATTTAGAAGCATGAAATTATTATTGAAGAAAGCCATAAACTTATTAGCTGCTCTGCTTTTGCAAAGACAGAACTCCAGCAATTGTGAGGATAATTGAAGTCCTCATTACTACAACACCAAGCTTTCAGGACACATTTGAGATGTGTTTCCCCAGCTCTTCATTTATTTTCTTTTATCTAGTTGGTCTGTAGGATAGACTCCTAACAATATTGCTTCTTCTCCCATTCCCAAAATCCTGGATTTCTTCAAAAGAATATATCCTCTTAATATATAGTATTAACGAATCATCATTCCTTTTATCCTAACTATTCTTTCTCCATTATTAGTTTACCGTCCATATCACAGCTTCTAACTATGGGTGTCCCCCCCAAGACCCTGTCCTGGACCATCTTCTCTTCTCTCTCTTTTATTTTTTTAAATCTTGAGTTCCAAATTGTGTCCTTCCCTCCTGCCCACTCTCTACCCATTGAGAAGGCAAACAATATGATACCCATTATACATGTGAAGTCATACAAAATATATTTCCATATTAGCCATGTTGCAAAAAAAAAAAAAAGAGCAAGAAAAATATAGTGGAAAAGATATGCTTCAATCTACCCTCAGAGTTCATCAGTTCTCTTTCTGGAAGTAGATAGTATTTTTCATTATGGGTTCTTTGGAATTGTCATAGATCATTGTATTGATCAGAATAACTATGTCTTTCATAGTCGATCATTGTTATAATATTGCTGTTACTATGTATAATGTTGTCCTAGTTCTGCTCACTTCACTCTGCATCAGTTCTTATAAGTCAACCCAGGTTTTTCTGAAAGCATCACCCTTGTCATTTCTTATGGCACAATAGTATTCTATTATATCATCTACCACAATTTCTTCAGTCATTCCTCAATGGATAGGCATTGCTTCAGTTTCCAGTTCTTTGCCATAACAAAAAGAGTTGCTATAAACATTTTTGTACATTTGGTCCTTTTCCTTTCTCTTTGATCTCTTTGGGAAACAGACCTGGTAGTGGTATTGTTGGATCAAAGGGTATTCCAGTTGGATAGCCCTTTGGGCATAGTTCCAAATTTTCCCCAGAATGGTTAGATGAGTTCAAACCCCACTAACAGTGCATTAGTGTCCCAATTTTCCCATATCCCCTCCAACATTTGTCATTTTCTTTTTCTGTCACATTAGCCAATTTGACAGGTGTGAGGTGGTACCTTAGAGTTGTTTTAATTCACATTTCTCTCTCTTATTATTCATGATTTAGAGCATTTTTATATGACTTTCAAGAGTTTTGATTTCTTTTTCTGAAAACTGCTTGGTCATGTCCTTTAACAATTTATCAAGTGAAGAATGGCTCTTATTTTTATAAATTTGGCTCAGTTCCCTACATATTTGAGAAATGAGACCTTTATCAGAGAAATTTGCTATAAAAATTGTTCCCAGTTTCCTGCTTTCCTTCTAATTTTGGCTACATTGGTTTTGCTTATGTAGAAACATTTTAATTTCATTTTATGTAATCAAAATTGTCCATTTTACCTCATGTGAGCCTCTCTTTCTTATTTAGTAATAAACATTTCCCTTATCTATAGATCTGACTGGTAATTTTTTATGCTCCCCTAATTTGTTTATGATTATAACCCTTTATGTCAAAATCATATATCTACTTTGACCTTACCTTGGTATATTGTATGAGATGTTGGTCTATGCCAACTTCCTGCCAGACTGCTTTCCATTTTTCCCAGTAGTTTTTGTAAAATAGTGAGTTCTTGCCCCAAAAGCTTAGATCTTTGGGTTTATCAAACACTAAATTATTATGGTCATTTCCTTCATCATATTATGTACTTAATCTATTCCACTGACCTGCCAATCTATTCTTATTCAGTACCATGTTGTTTTAATGATTACTGCTTTGTAATATAGTTTGAAGTCTGGTTTTCCTAGGCTACCTCCCTTAACATTTTTTTTTATTGATTCCTTTGATATTCTTGACTTTTTCTTCTTCCAGATGAATTTTGTTATTTTTTTTTTGAGCTCTGTAAATAATTCTTTGGGAGTTGTATTGGTATGGCCCTGAATAAATAAATTAGTTTAGTTAGAATTCTCTCAGCCTAGCATGAGCAATTAATATTTCTCCAATTGTTTAGATCTGAGTTTGTGTGCAAAATGTTTTATAATTGTGTTTATATAGTTCCTGTGTGTCTTAGCAGATAGATTCCCAAGTATTTTATACTGTCTGAAGTTATTTTAAATGGAATTTCTCTTTCCATCTTTTCCTGTTTCATTTTATTGGTAATTTATAGAAATGCTGATTATTAAAGC